CTCTACAGGGCGGGGATAGGCCAAAATAGTCAGAAGTAGTCTGGGGTCGATGTGTTTTGACAAGGCTAAAACATTTGTTTGATGTTTGGTTGTCTGTATTTCTGTTCGTCGGCAATCCGCCTGTAGGTAGGGGGGCACGCCCGACCTAAGCCTGTCGCCGACCTATGGGCGATATATCGCCTATCGCAGGTCGACGTGCTCCCCCGTGAGCCGGTCCTCCCCGGCGTGCCCCGTCGGGCCAAGGCATGGCCGTCGGAGGTTCGGGGTCTGTTTTGTGAGATGCTGGCCCTGGGAGTGTGGGGCCTTCGATTGAGGCTGCGCCCCCCTTTTCCTCCCCCATGTCTGGTTAATTCAAGCTTCGCGCGGCCCGCTTAGCTTCGACCGGAAGAGGTGCGCTCTCGACCCGCGAATCAAAAAGAGTGTGGGGCCTTTGGGGACCGCGCATGGACAACTGTCAGGACATCGCATGCCTCGGGAGCGGGGGGAGGAGAGCAGAGGGGGAGGGGGGAGGAGTGCCCCTCACCCTCCCACTCCTCCTCCCCCCCCCCTCCCCTCTGCTCTCTGCCCCTTTGAGGAGGGGGGAGGGGGATGCGGCAGGGAGGGTGCCGGGAAAGGCGTCGGCATGAGGGGGCATGGGCGGGACTAGGGGGGCTCCTCCTGTTCCTCCATTCCTTTTCCTTATAAATGATTTCTCCGTGTTGCACTCCGAGGGCAGTGGGCCGGATGATTCGCCAGAGACTTCCTCACCAGTTAGAACCCTGAAACTTAAAGCTTGGCAGCAGTTTCGCAGAGGGAGGGCGAGTCGTTTTCGAAATGTAGCTCTCGACTTAGCGCCGCGCAGAATCGGTTTTTAAATTCGCACGTGTATCACGCATTGTGGGCGACCCTTTTTCGAAATGTGGTTCTCGCTTTGGCGCCGCGTACATTCGCTGTAAACTTTCGAAAGAGCTTGTCGGATAGAGGGCGTTTTCTTTTCAAAATGTGACTCTCGCCCTAGCGCCGCGTATATTCGTTTTAGTGGGTTGCAAGAGTCTCACGGATTCCCATGATCAGCGTACCAGAACTTGCGTATTGGAAGGATTCAGGAATATGAGAGTGCAGCAGTTACGTTGATTCGCGGTGTTGAAGTCCCAGGAATGGCGTTCTGGCGCGATTCTTCATCGTCAAGTCCAGACGCAACTGTCAGGTTGATCCGTGGCGTTGGAATCCTGAGAACAATCGTTTGGCATGCTCCAAGGTCTTCAAACGGTTGTCTTCCAACGAGGCAGCTTCCCCAGTGGAAATGAACCGTTGTAAGGGGCTGGGCCTATGAAGAGGGAGTTTGGAAGGAGGGCTTATTCCAAAATCGTTGGTGACTCTTGGGTTTGCACTGGTCCTCCTCCTCCTCTTCCCCCTCCTTCTCCTGCTCCTTCTCCTCCTCCTCCTCTTCCTCCTGTTGCCGTCCTAGATTCTCCTCTTTATGTCCGAGTGGCATTCTCAGCCCCAATTTGTTCCCCTTGGCCGCGGTGCGGGCGCCGTGTGCAGGCGGTCGCGCAGGCGGCCATCGAGCTGCGCTCTACGAGCGGCTCGTCGCACCGTAATCGCGGGCACTTCGGGACCAGAGTTCGGCTCCCCTCGGGGCCTTAGTGGGCCCTGGAAACAACAGGGCCGTTTTTTTACCGGTTCCGTTCTGCCGTGTTTTCGCTGGTTCCGACGCCGTTTTTTTACTGGTTCCGTCGCCGTTTTTTGACCGGTTCCGGCTCCGGTTCCAATCCTGGAGCCGTTTTTTTGCCGTTTCCGGTCGCCGTTTCTTTACCGTTTTCATTTTCAAGAGACATTTTTCGGAAACGGTAAAAAAAACGGCCCTGCCGTTTCCAGGGCCCACAAAGCTCGGGGCCACCTGGTCCACCCAGGCGGACCCGCCTGGAGGAGAGGGCGCCTGCTGACCTGCTCCTCCCGCGGGTTTTCCTGCCCCACCGTCCGTCCTGGACGAGCGGTGGGCCTGAGCGGCGGGGTCACTCCCTGGCTGCCCTCGACGGTCGTCGACCGCCTTGCGGCGACGGCCGCGTGCAGCCTCTGCGGAGGTTGCTGCCTTGGGGTCCTTGTGACCCGCTGTTGGGGGCGCCTGCCCTTCACCAGGCTGCGCGCCGCGGCCTTTGCTCCCCTCGAGCAGAGGCGTCGTGCGTCGCGGGCGCGAATGTGCGGCAGCGCTCCTGCCCTGGTTGACCAGGCTTCTGCGCGGGCCCGTGCGCTGCGGGCCCAGGCAGCTCGAGAGGCTGCCACCGCCCCGACACGGGCCGAGTCCCCTCGAGCGGCCTTCTGACCGCTTGCTGCGAGCCTGGCTCGCTCGCGTAGTTCACCGCGCGTCACGGCCGTGGCGGACCTGCCCGACGGTCCCCCCATTGACGACAGGCCTGCCTGGCCCGATCCCCCACAGCTTCGTCCCTCCTTCGGGGCGGAGCCGAGCCCGCTACGCTTCTGCCTCTGCCGGCGCGGTGGGCCCCAATGCCAAACTAAAAACTCATCGCCGTCATGCTCCTGCTGCCCCCTCCTCCACATGGCCTTTCTCGCTCCAACCATCGCGCGTTCTGGCGAGCCCCGGGCGCGGGTGGACTGACTCAGGCTGCTCCCGGCATGGCCACAACGGGGCTCGGTCTGACAGCAGGAAACCAGCACAAGCCTTAACCTACCGGGGTCCGCACGGATTTCATGGATCGACGCTGGCATCTCCCCCTCTCTGGCGCGTGGAGCGCGCCCGGGACGCTGCCAGGGCATGGCTGGCTGGCTCGAGCCACCCTGGCTTTGGTGAGCGCAACCCTGGCGCGTGAACAGGGAGCCCGCCTTGGACCTGCGGCGCGGCTGAACAGCAGCGCCAGCCGGCCAGGACGGCTGAGCTGTTCAGGTCACCGACCACGGCGGAGCGTACGTAGACCATCTGCGTGAGTGACTCCGTTGACGCCGACGCGTTCAGAGCCCCCCCATTTCGGAGGTCAGCAGGGTGGGGATGATCCCCACCTCGACCTATTTCGGAGGCCAGCCGGGGGGGGCGCAACAAACCCCCAGCCGCCCTGTCATCCCCCATTGGGGCCCAGTGGCCCCTTCTCCTCAGGAACGTATCGGGGGCCGGTCGCCGGTCTATCGGCTGCATACCCTCCAGGCCAGTCCTCGGGTGGCTCCCCCTACGCCAGTCCCCCACGCATCGGTGCCCCATCACCCCTGGCCCGCAGCGCAGCGCACGTCCAGCCCTGGCAGCCTCCGCTCGGTCTCCCCAGAGCCGAGACGTCTGACGGACGGGCGCGCTCGGCTGCTGTTCCGCCCCTCATGGGCCTCTACCAGCCGAGCACGGTCGAGCGCAGACCCAGTACATAACTGACCTACCTTTAGGTCGGGCATGTCCTCCTACAGGCGAATTTTGGACACATCCAACATAGTCCAAAAATCTTCAGGCATAGCCAACATAAACATTCAAACGAAATCGCCCCCAGACCATGCTTTGCGTATTTTTGAATATGCCTCCTGTGGAGGGACACGCCCGACTTAAGCCCACCTCCGTCGACGCCGGCGTGGGCGGCGTCTGCGAGGTGGGCCCCGGCGCGAGGCTCGGACGCACGGGCGGTCTCGGCTGCTGCGCTGCTTACGGCTTTGCCTCGACCTGCCGAGGCCCGTTCGGTTGGGCGACACCCCTCGCCGCGGCCGTGGGAGCGGCATCGCCTGTCCTGTCGGGCGGCGCGACGTGGGAACCTTCTGTGCCTCCTCGACGGCCGAGCAAGCCCCGCTGGGGCCCGACACGAACTTATCCGTGTCTTCTGCGCGCCGAAGCGTTTTCACTTGCGGAGCTGGGCTCCCTGGCGCGAGCGGCCGAACGACCCCTGCACCAGGAGACCCCGGCAACACGGTTGCAGCCACAACAACCATCGGTCTAATGCTACTTGTTTTCCCGTCCTCCCCTCCTGCTGCTTCCTCACCCAGTAGAGCATCGAGCCTCCTCCTCCCTCTCCCTCCCCCTCCCCGTCCTCAGCATCCACCCTGCCCCCCCTCCCTCTCCCTCCTCGTGTGCACGTCTCGCGCGCGTGCTTCAACACGGACTGCATTGTCTCGAGGCTACGGTTTCCGCTCACCTTGTCCCATGAGGCCGGGGCACGTGTCCGCGCTGGTGGTTCGTTCGTTCGTTTCCTCTTTTGGCAGCCCAGATACATACGCCCGTTTCGAAACTCAACACGCACCGAGTTCCGATTGTCCGTGTCAATACGTTGCGTGTTGGCCCAACGTCCTGGCGCCTGCGTTCTGGCGAACGTGCCGCGCCAAACGTACATTTTCAAGTCTACGTGCTGCGACCCGTGTCAACACGTTTCGTGTGGCGTGCTGCGTATCGGGTCAGCTCAGTTACCTCCTTTTCCCTCCTTGTCCTCATCCGCCACCTCTCAGCCACGCACGGGGGGGAGGGGTTTGGGGGAGGAGGAAAGCCTTCTCAGAAGCACCCGTGCTTCTCAGGAGACGCGGCCCTTCTCTACTGCAGATGTCAGGCCGGCGCCTTCTAAGCAGCAGCCTCCTGTGGAGAGGTCCCCCCCCCTCCCCCATACCCCCCTCTGCGCGCCGCCACAACCCGGCCTCGCTTCCCCCAGTCCTCCTCCTCCTCCTCCTCCTCCTCCTCCTCCTCCTCCTCCTCCTCCTCCTCCCTCCTCCACCCTCCTCCACCCTCCCTCCACCCCCCACTCCCCCCAACCTCCTCCACCCTCCTCCACCCTCCTCCACCCTCCTCCCTCCTCCTCCTCCTCCTCCTCCTCCTCCTCCTCCTCCTTCTCCTCCTCCTCCCTCCTCCACCCTCCTCCACCTCCTCCCTCCCCCCACCCTCCTACACCCCATCACCCTCCACCCTCCTCCTCCTCCTCCTCCTCCTCCTCCTCCTCCTCCTCCTCCTCCTCCTTCCCCGCAGGGCCTGGCTGCCGGCGGCGCCGAGGGGGCGGGCGGGCCCGGGCGGCCCCGCCCTCCGCCGCCGCCGTGGGGCCCCCGCTGTGCACGCCATGGTGGCCGCTGCCGGCCCGCGAGGCGGGTCCCGCCCTTTGTAACCAGCCTCGAACTTATCCCTATCCCTAAGATGGGCGAGCAAGAAGCGAGGACAATCTTAGGGATAGGCCCTCAGAAACTGAGGGAATCCTTAAGATGTGCATCGAGGTGAGGTGATGTCAAACATAGGGATAGGGACATGTTTTTGAAGTGGTTACTTTGGCCGTCGCCGTCTGCCCTCCTGCTTGGCCTCGCTCGGGCGTGTGCGTTTTTCTGTTTTTTTGTGTTTTGTTTGATTCTCTTCTCGGCGAGGGGCGTCGAGGAGCATGTTGGAGCATCCTGCGAAACATTGTTTTCAATAACAGTGCACGAAGCCGAACACATGTACGGGGAATGGGCGTGCGAGTGATGGCAAGCTTGGCCCTGATCATCGGCTGTCTCTCCCCCACAGTCCCTGTCGTCATCGCTCTCGTCGCCCTCTTTGCCTTCCTCATGTGCGCGGGCACTGCGGAGGAGGAGGAGGACGAGGAGGTGGACTCCTTCTCCCCTACTCGGCGGGGGAGGAGGAGGAATGGGGGATGGACAAGAAGGACAGAGGAGGAACGAGGGGGGAAGTGGAGGAAAGGAGGATGAGGAGCAGCACGGGGCGGAGGAGGAGAGGGCTGAGGAGCTGGACTCCTCCTCCCCTCTTTCCCTCTTCCCAACCCCCTCCCCGCCCACGGACGGACGCGTGCGCGCGGGGCCGACGGCGGCCGCCCGCCCCCGCCCTGCGGTCGGAGGCGGCGGGGACTCGCCCCTGCTCTCCGCGAGGGTGGCCAGCGGGCGGCAGCTGTGACCCCGCCGCCCGTCGCCGTCGCCGCCGCGGTCGTCGTCGGCGCCGTCGCCGCCGTCGGCGGCGGCGGCACTGGCGGCGTGGTCCTCGTGGTCGCCGTCGCCATCGCTGCCGCTGGTCGCCACTGTCGCCGCCGTCATCGTCGTCGTTCGTGTGTCGCGTTCGCCTCGGTCCTCTGTGCGGCCTGCTCGGTCGTCGTCGCGGACTGCTCGGACAAGGGGCGAGGGGGGGGCGGCACAAGGACAACTACATACATACACACATATATATATGTAAACATACATAGACATATATACACATAGAAGTATAGACAGACACATAGAGAGACAGAGAAAGAGACAACGATACATACATATATAGAACAAAGGGGTATGATATTGCAAGCTTGTGTGAGAGAGTGGGTGCGCAAGATCAGCAAGTATGCACACTTTACACATGTACACACATTCAGATAGTTTGATCGGAGCCGCCTGCATCCAATCACCACCGCCCCCAGCCTTTTTGGAACTGTCGGTTTGGCGAGACGTTGTGTTTTAAGCTTGGCAAAACTATTGGACGATGTGTTTCCCCAGCCGTTATGGAAACCCTCGGGGGAACATGTGGGGAAGGAAGAGCGAGAAGAGGAGGAGGAGGAGGAGGACCGCAACCGCAACCGCCGAGCGGGCGCAGCCGCAACTGCAACTAGGCGACACGTTTCAACCCGCCCGCGGGCGCAACCGCAACCTCAACTAGGCGACACCTTTCAACCCGCCCGCGGGCGCAACCTCAACCGCAACTAGGCGACACCTTTCAGCCCGCCCGCAGTCGCAACCGTAACCGCAACGGCGACACATTTCAATCCGCCCGCGGGCGCAACCGCAACCGCAACTAGGCGACGCATTTCAGCCCGCCCGCAACCGCAACCGAAAGTAGCGACACATTCCAGCCCGCCCGCGGGCGCATCCGCAACCGCAACTCGGCGACACATTTCAACCCGCTCGCGGGCGGGATCGCAATGGTAACCGCAAGTGGGCGATACGTTTCAAACCGCCGAGCGGGCGCAACCGCCATCGCAACAGGGCGACACATTTTAACCCGCGGGCAAGGACTGGCAGGAGGAGGAGGACGAGGACGAGGACGATGCGGAGGGGGATGCAGCGGTGGTCGTGTTCCAGGGGGGTGCAGCAGCAGGTGCCGGTGGTGGAGTAAACCCAATGGGACGAGAGGAAGATGGAGGTCCAGGAGGACGCGGAGGAGGAGGACGAGGACGAGGAGGAGGACACGTTGCCCGCGGTTCTCCGCCGGGACATTGCAGCGGGGAATCCTGATTCCACGCTGCTGCCTCTGATTCCCTTCATCCGCTGACCCGTGTCCTCTGGGAATTGTAGGAATTGTGGGACCTGTGAGGCCTGCGAGACCTGCGGCACCCGTTGGATAGGCGGGACTCACGGGAGCTGTGGGACTTGGGGGACTTTCGTTGGAGTTGTGAGGCATGCGACACCTCTTGGACCTGTGGGACTTGCGGGACCTGTCGGACCTGTGGGACTTGCGGGGCATGTGAGACGTGCGACACCTATGGGGCCTGCGGGACCTGTCAGACCTGGTATCTGTGGGGCAGGTGAGACGACCTGCGACACTTGATTGACTTGTGTGACGTGTGGGGCCCGCGAGAGCTGCGAGACCTGCGGATCCAGAAGTAGCCGACG